CATATGAAGGCAGGAGTCTATGAGTAGTTTCTAAAGTAATAGACCTTTGAAAATTTTAAAAAGTGAAATTTGTCAATAACAGAGTTAAGAGCTTAATTATTTTGTCTAATACTTATCAGAATTGGTGCTTATACTCTCCTGGTTCCCTGATCATAGTAGAGAAGCACTGGTAATGTACCAAATGAAACTGGTTGTATGCCAGCTGATTTTGTTAACTTCTTAAATAACCTAGGAATCATCAGCAGGTCACGTACAACCCCAGTGATCATTTTACAACATAGTAAAAGGCTGATTTTATTCTACTTCACATTTTAGAAGTGCATTTTCTCAAGTTACAGGGTATTTTGCTTCCCTTTTATATGAAGAGATTTTCTTTTGAATATTTTTCCGCTCTTTTGGTAGCAGTGATAGACATATCTAATAATACATTGGTTATTTTTGTTTGCTTTTTAATAGTTAATGAACTGAAGAGGCTTAATAGTGGTTCTGGATAGGTGGTTCCACTCCTGACTACGGTCAACGTCCCTTTCTTATGTGTTCCAAAGTTGAAAATTCTGTTACAATTCTGAATCTTCTCTGAACATTTTAGATAAGTATTAAGCTATTTTCTCCCTTTATGACACACATGGTGGTGAGTACTGTCTAGTAAAAGGTGGCTCTTGAGCCATTCCTATTTAATTAAAACAAAAAGTGGTATTGTAGGAAAAAGCCACTGAGAAAGTATTATATTCTTAAGCCTCTCTCTATTGAGAAGCTCTAGAATCACATTATAAACTTGATCAAAGTAAAATCCAATTATTATACTAAGGTCTGTGAGATTTAAGAGCAATAATCAACACTGTTCTAAGCCTAAACAGAGTTTACATGATATATGCTCTCAATCAGCTCAGTAGTGGCTAAAACCAGCCATCTTTTAAAGAATATGAAACAAAACACAGCAATGTCCTGTCTCTTCAGAAAATTGTTTTAAGAAATTAACCAGCCATAGTTAGTGGCTCATGCCTGTAGTCCCAGCTGTTTGGGAGGCTGAGGTGGGAGGATTGCTTGATACCAAAATTTTGAGGCTGCAGTAAGCCATGATTGTACCACTGCACTCCAGCCTGAGTGACAGCAAGACCCTGTCTCAAAAATAAAGTGGGGGAAGGGTGCAAAATTATACTGTGAGAAGCCAAAGAAATTTCAAAGTTGTAATTATTTTTCTAAATCTCAGTGTTTGAATTTAACATTGTGTGTCTAAAGATGAAGTGGATTCTAAAGATGAATTGGACTCGAGATACCCAACATATCTATCATGTTGGGGTTATGTCACTTAGGTGAAGTTTAGCTGCTTTTTCTTTTTAATCTCTATGGAACAATTTGTATAATTTCTTGCTTTCAATTGCTAAACTGAGCTCTTGATTAAAAGTAATAAGCAATAATTTCTCTTTGTGGGAGAAATTAAAGAAGGCTTTCTTTTTTTTTGAGATGGAGTTTCACTCTCATTGCCTAGGCTGGAGTGCAGTGGCATGATATTGGCTCGCCGCAGCCTCTGCCTTTCAGGTTCAAGAAGTCTTTCTTTCTATTCGTGGAAATAAGATGCTTAGGCTAGTGCAGTGGTTCATGCCTGTAATCCCAGTACTTTGGGAGGCTGAGGCGGGTGGATCACCTGCAGTCAGGAGTTCAAGACCAGCCTGGGCAACATGGTGAAACCTCATCTCTACTAAAAGTACAAAAATTAGCTGGGTGCGGTGGTGGGTGCCTGTAATTCCAGCTACTTGGAGGCTGAGGCACAAGAATTGCTTGAACCTGGGAGGTGGAGGTTGCAGTGAGCCAAGATTGCACCATTGTACTCCAGCCTGGGTGGCAGAGCGAAACTCTCTCTCAAAAAAAAGAAAAAAGATGCCCAGAGAAACAAGGTTCTTAGGCAGATGTGGTGACTCATGCCTGTAATCCCAGCATTTTGGGAGTTTGAGGCAGGAGGATCACTTGAGCTTAGGAATCCAAAATCAGCCTGGGCAATACGGTAAGACCCCATCTTTACAAACTATTGGCCTGGTTTGGTGGCACAAGTATGTGGTCCTAGCTACTTGGAAGGCTGAGGTAGGAAGGATCACTTGAGCCTGAGAAGTTGAAGCTGCAGTAAACTATATTTACACCGCTGTACTCTAGTTTGAACAACAAAGTGAGATCCTATTTCAGACAGAGAAAGGAAAAATGGGAGTCTTAAAAATTAAGAATTTTGGCCAGGTGTGGTAGTTCACGCCTCTAACCCCAGCACTTTGGGAGGCCAAGGTACGTGGATCACTTGAGATCAGGAGTTCGAGACCAGCCAGTATGGTGACGCCCCATCTCTACTAAAAATAGAAAAATTAGCCACTTGTGGTGGCGGATGCCTGTAATCCCAGCTATTCAGGAGGCTGAGGCAGGAGAATCACTTGAACCCAGGAGGCAGAGATTGCAGTGAACTGAGATTGCACTCTGCAGTCCAGCCTGGGCAACAGAGTAAGACTCCATCTGAAAAAAAAAAAAAATTAATAATTCGTATCCTCGTAGCATACTCAGTTTTAAGCTTGTAACTTTTAAATCTTTTAGCACATAATAAAAACTGTGTATACCGTTTTAATCTCTCCTTGGTCTTCAGACTTAAATATTCTTTTAAACAGCAAAAATAGGCCGGGCGTGGTGGCTCACGCCTGTAATCCAAGCACTTTGGAGGCCAAGGCAGGCGGATCACCCGAGGTCGGGAGTTCAAGACCAGCCTGACCAACATGGTGAAACCTCGTCTTAAAATAAATAAATTAATTAAAAGTTTTAAAATAATAATAATAAATAGACAGCAAAAATATCAACTAGGTTAAGTTTAAAAGCAAGGAGGAGCATCATTGTAATATGACATCCATGTATATTCAAACTAGAATTTTCTAATGGTCTTTGTAAGACAAAGGAGATAATTGTCAATACTATGACATAGCTTTTATGTTTTGAATAAGTTTAGTTGGAGATTGAGGTATTTTTATTTTCATGTGAGATGGGTAATGTGCTGACCTTATAACAAGGTTTGAGGGAGACACATTGTATATGGGAATTTGAAATGCTTATGAAATATAAAAGCAGAGGCTGGGCGTGGTGGCTCACACATGTAATCCCAGCACTTTGGGAGACTAAGGCTCGCAGATCACCTTGAAGTCAGGAGTTTGAGACCAGCCCGGCCAACATGGCGAAACCCCATCTCTGACTAAAAATACAAAAATTAGGCATGTGGTATACATCTGTAATCCGAGCTACTCAGGAGGCTGAGGCAGGAAAACTGCTTGAACCTGGGAGGCGGAGGTTGCAGTGAGCCGAGATCACGCCACCCTACTCCAGCCACAAGAGTGAGACTCCATCTCAAAAAGAAAAGAAAAGAAAAATACTGGATTCACATATTCTAAAAATGCTCCTTGTTTGTGGCCAAATTTATCAAATCTAAATTTATCAAATTTATAATCTCATATTTACAGAGTTTACTTAATTCTAATTAGCTCTGTTGGAGGTCATATTGGAGGTCATACTCCACTATTAACCTTGAATCTGCTCTGTGTCTCCTTCAGTTCCTCTGCATAGCTGCATGTCACCATCATAAACATGTTGGTATTGCATTATGCTTATAGATAATCTAACAGTAATTGAAAATCTGGCTGCTCTGAGTGCAGTGATGTTTACAACTAATTGATCACAACCAGTTATAGACTTTAGTCTTACTCCATTCCCACTGCTTCACTTGACTAGCCTTTAAAAAGAAAGAAAAAAATAGAGAAAAACTTATATTTATCTACTTTAAGTTAATGATCCTCAGTGTTTTATTACCTTAGTTCAGATGTAGTCCTTGTGTACTATTATATAATGTAGACTATTTGGCCATACTCGACTTTGTCTAAAAGTTAATGCGTAATTTAATATTAAATATGGCCAAATAGAAAATTTAATGAGCCATTTGAGCTCAGTTACCCAGAAAACTGCATTTATGCTTCTGGTGAATTGTTTTCAATGTCCATTTCCAAAAGTAGCAGTAAGCAGCTATCTTAAAATAATTGGAGATAATGTGAATGATGTTGTTAGAGTCTTTTACACAATGTACTGTCTGTCTGTTCCATAAAAAGTAGGAGTACTCTATTTGTGGCCAGCTTGGGCAACATAGTGAGACTGTCTCTTTAAAAAAAAAAAAAAAAAGCTAAAAATTAGCCAGGTGTGGTACACACTTGTAGTCCTAGCAATTCAGGAGGCAAGAAGATCGCTTGAGCCAGGTGTTTGAGGTTAGAGTGAGCTATGATTGCACCACCTACACTCTAGCCTGGGCAACAGAGCAAGACCCAAATGGCTCATGTTGCTTTATTTTACCTTGTTGAGTGTCAGTGTGTCTTTTAAGTAAAGCAGTATCAATGGCCTTCTTGCCCTAGCGTCTTTCATTATTGAGCTTCATTTAATCTACCACTTTTGACCATGAAATTTAACAGGTGACTTCTGGGTGTCTATTCCAGGTGAAGTGAGATTTTTTTTTTTTTTTTACTGAGATGTCTAAAAGCTCTTGGATTTCTGGTATTTCACTAGGACATCTTAGTAAAACAGGAAGTATTAGATGAGGAATCAGACTTGAGCTCGAGCTCTGGTTCTGGCCTGGCCACTAACATTGATACGATCTTGGGCAAGTTAGTTCCTGCCTGGGTTTCATTACCTTTAATTGAGGAAGTTGAAATAGATGATTTCTCATGTCTCTTCTACTCCTAAATTCTATGATTTTAGGGAGAAAATCCCCTTCAGCATTCCTGGGATATATATCTAATAGTCCCATATATTGTGAAACTTCCCTATTGACGATAAAGAGGGCTGGGGAAGGCTACAAGTAAGTATATCCTATTTTCTCTAATCTTTAAAGGTTTTCCCAGCAGAGAAAGGACAGTAAAAAATGGTGGCTTTTGCAGTTTGAGAAAAGCTAACCCTGCAGCTTTTCAGCTACAATTTTGTAATGTAGACTTCAGCAACAGCAACTTCAAAATCTCTGCAGTTTTAAAAATCTGAATTAACCTACTTTGAAGATTTATCTTCCTACATTTCTCTTTTATCATCACAAAAGTAAAAATTGCCCTACCTAACTTGTGTCTCTGTGATTTCACAAATTAATGTAATGTATGGAAAAGTGTGAAGGAATGATATAGTTGACAGTAGCACCTTGCAAATGGATTTTTAAAACTTAGTAACCCAAATTAAACACAATGGGTAGAATTTTTCTGAGTTTTGAATGAATACTTTGGGTCCTCTTCACTCACTTTATCTAGCTCACTAAAAAATAAAGTACTTGGAGGCTGGACACAGTGGCTCTTGCCTATAATCCCAGCACTTTGGGAGGCCAGGGTAGGCGGATCACCTGAGGTCAGGAGTTCAAGACCAGCCTGACCGACATGGTGAAACCCTGTTTTTACTAAAAAATGCAAAAACTAGCCAGGCATGGTGGCTCAAGCCTGTAATCCCAGCTACTCAGGAGGCTGAGGCAGGAGAATCGCCTGAACCTGGGAGGCAGAGGTTACAGTGAGCTGAGATTGCACCATTGCACTCCAGCCTGGGCAACAAGAGCAAAACTCCGTCTCAAAAAAAAAAACAAGTACGTGGAATAATTATTGCAGGTGCACATTATTCACTTACTCCTTCACTTTTGAAATAAAGACTCCAGACTGTTGCCTTTTATTTGTATGTGTTGAAGCTTGTGAGTTTTTAAGTTAAAGAACTTGAAACTACAGATTCAGATGACTGCATTTCTGTTGAGTCAATGTAATATTTTCCTTCTACTCATCCATAAATGTGGACCCAAAGGACAAGACAGGTATAACACGGATGGGGAAGGTGCCAACTGTGAGGTTCATCAATTTATATTTCCATGGATGTCATTTCTGAACTGAGTTGTTGAATATTTTAGTTACATCAGTATAGAATAGAAGCCTGTGGGCCACATTTTTTTTTTTTTTTTAGGAAGGAGCCACTCCCTGCTGCTTGACACTGCATTCTATACTATTTTGTACACTGTGCTAGGTTCCTGTAGATGTTTGTCTTACTGACCAGTTGAACGTTTCTATGAATATAAGCCAGGGAGTTTTTGTCTTGCTTTTTTCCTGATTCTTATCTGTTTTTATAGGTTCTCTTTGTAAAGAACCCTTTTCTGGTCAAGTTTCTTCTTCATCACTTATGCCATTTACTCCATTCTGGACCCTCCTTCAGTCAAATGTTCCTGTGCTTCAACCTCCATTACCCTTGGAAATGCCGCCCCCCCCACCTCCACCTCCAGAATCACCTCCACCCCCTCCTCCACCACCTCCTCCTGTGGAAGATGGTGAGATCCAGGAGGTAGAGATGGAGGATGAGGGAAGTGAGGAGCCCCCTGCGCCAGGAACAGAGGAGGATACCCCTTTGAAACCTTCAGCACAAACCACAGTTGTAACTACCCAGGTGAGTAATGTCCTTTGGCATTCTGAATGATTTTGAGGATGGAGCATGCTTGACACCATATTTTATTTTAGAAGTGTATGTTTTAAAGGCTGGGCACAGTGGATCATGCGTATAGTCCTAGTGCTTTTGAGAGGTCAAGGCAGGAGGATTGCTTAAACCCAGGAGATTGCAGTGAGTCATGATCTCACCACTGCAGCGTGTGCAACAGAACCAGACCCTGTCTCAAAAAAGGAGAGGGGGTGGCATATGTTTAACCAGGGCCTTCAGCCACTGATCACAAATTTTTGTGTTTCAGAGTTCAGTGGATTCCACCAGTTCTAGTTCTCCTTCCACTAAAGGGATAAAGAGGAAAGCTACAGAAATTAGTACTGCAGTGGTTCAGAGGTCAGCCACCATTGGCAGTTCTCCAGTTCTCTATAGCCAGTCAGCTATAGCTACAGGTAATTGTGATTAAAGCATGGTTTTTCCTCAACGTATTGTTTCTTCTTTTCCCCAGCATTAGATGCTATAAAAATTAAATAAATGTTAAGGCTCTTTGCAAAGACTTTGCATTTATGTTACTTCTGAGAAAAAAAAAAAAACCAGTTTAATTGGCCATGCACAGTGGCTCACATCTGTAATCTCAGCACTTCGGGAATCTGAGGCCAGTGGATTGCTTGAGCTCAGGAGTTGGAGACAAGCTTGGGCAATACAACAAAAGCCTGTCTACAAAAAATACAAAAATTAGCCAGGCCTGGTGGTTCACGCCTGTAGTCCCAGCTACTTTGGAGAACAGAGGTGGGAGGATCACTTTGAGCCCTGGAGGTTGTGGCTGCAATGAGCTGTGATCACACTGCTGCACCCCATCCAGTCTGGGCGACAGAGCAAGACCCTGTCTCAAAAACAAAGAATGGCCGGGCGCGGTGGCTCAAGCCTGTAATCCCAGCACTGTGGGAGGCTGAGGCGGGTGGATCACGAGGTCAAGAGATCGAGACCATCCTGGTCAACATGGTGAAACCTCGTCTCTACTAAAAATACAAAACATTAGCTGGGCATGGTGGTGCGTGC